GGAAAACCCGTCTGCGTAAAGAATCGCAAAAACACCGAACAAGTGACCATCGCTGACAGCGATCTCATCCCTTCCACTTCTGACCAGCGGATGCCTAAATTTATTATGCAAACCGCGTTTCGACAACCGTTAGATGACAGGGGATCAAACGGTTCAATCTTGCCCACGTTACCCACTTGAAACAGGGTTGAGGACCGAGTAAGTGGTGTAGCTGGGGTCCTATCTAGGACTAGATCAGGCGCTTTTACCAAGCACCTAGGACTATCCTGGCAGTACTTCCGGATGTCAGTTGCCATTCCCGGCCGATAGAAGCCCTCGCCAATGCGACTTGCCGACTTCCGACTGCCTACCTGTCCACCGCACGGAGCTTTGAGTGCTAAATCTAACACTTCCGTTCTCCGTTCTTGGGGTACAACTACCTGATTAATGGGTCTGCCGAACGAACTATCTTGCCGATATAGTATCCCGTCCTCTACAGTTAACCCATCTTTCTTATGCTTAGCGGCCTCCCACAATCGAGAAAATGAGTCGTCCCGGACTTGAGCGTCTCCTACTTCTGTTTCTTTCTCATTATCGTCGCTATTTCCACTGTACGCCGCCTCTGAGAGAGATTCTGGCTCCTTTTCCCGATGGTTTCCGTTACCATCTACCCTTAAGCTCCTCACTTGTCTTTCTCCCTTTCCCTGGAGCTTCTGCTTTCGGTCTACTAGCCTCCGGTAATCCTTCTCCGATAACAAGGCATCCGTGGTCTGGTCTAACTCGTCCGTTAAGGCGCACGTCACCAGTTCCGACCTTCGCGACCCTGCGAAGTCTTTCTCCCACAGCCCTATCGGGACCGATACTAACACCGCATCGATCTGGTGACCGAAGGGCCCAACCAATTGGATTCTCCCCTTCGTTTCCATCACCGAGGTAGGTACCAACGCCTCTCTTATAACCGAAATCCCAGCTCCAGAGTCAACTATGGCCGAAAGACAGTTTCCGCCACATGCCAATTTGACTTTATTCGGCGCTGTTATGACCTTTGGTTGGTCATACGACGTTACCCTCGCTACTAAACGCCTCTCGTCCTGGGAATTGTTACTAGTAGCCGCGCCTGTTTAGGCTCACTATGTGCCTTCCGTTTCGGACAGTTTCTCCTCCAATGGTCCGTTTTCCCGCAGACGTAACAACCATTTTTGTGGGGTTGTTCATCTATAGTCTGCGTCACGGGACTAGATTTCCCTTTTGTCTCTCTCCACGAGTCCCTTTGTTCGCCGTTTTTATCGCTTTTGTTTGGGGACGTACTACTTGACGCTTCGTCAAACTTTTCTATAAACCTGGCCAATTCCGCAGGTTTGCTCCATCCCTTCCCTTCCTGCAGTATCACATATTTCCTTGCGTCATGAGGTAGGAGCATCTTTATATGGTCCGCTACTGTTAGCTCAACAAGACCTTCTAACGTCTCCACCTCTCTACTATCTACATAGTATTGATAAAGGTCTTTCAGGCGCGACGCAAATTGCGGCCATGTTTCTCCCGGGTAGCGTTCTGCCCGCCTAAATCCCTTTAGGTATTCCGCAGGTGAGAGTCTCAACTCTTCGAGAATAAACTCCTTCAAGGAAGGGTAATGTTTGACCTTATCCACTGATAATCTTGTCAGTGCCGCTTTGCATTTTTCCGATAGCACGCTCAAAACTATTTGTCCCTGTAATTCTGCCGGGACCTCGTATGTCTCCAAAATCACTTCGACCATACGAAACCAAGATGGTAATGCCTCCTCCTCTTCCGGCATTTTAGGCAATGCCGCCTTTACCCTACGAGCGTAATCGTCAAAATTTGCTTTGCCGATATTATCCTCTGCGTCTCGGGTCCCCTTTTGTAACCTATCCCGCTCTAACTCAATTTCCGCCTTTCTGACCTCAGCTTCGAATTTCGCGAGTTCAATCCGAAGCTTAAGCGCTTCGATTTCTTCCCGAGATTCGCATCCCGTGCCTCCTGCCTTTCGTCCCTTGATCGGCCCATCATTTTCCCACTCCCCTGTTTCTAAACCTCGCGCTTTCGAGCGTTTAGGCATCTCCGTGGTAGCGAATAAAATAAAGTTTTACCTGGGTCAATGATTGCCGGTGTTGTTCGGTTCCTTTCGTCGCAGATCAGCCTTTCCGATCCTTGTTAGTTCGAAGTACGTAATCCTGTCGAATCCTGTGTAATCCTGTCGAGTCTGCGCCAGTCAAATTAAAATACTTCTTCAGAGTCAGTTAACTTTAAAACTTGTATATATATTAAAACAAAAACGTATGTACAGTTACAATTAAAGTTCACATATAAGAATTANTGTTCCTCAATGATAAATAAATTTACCTACTCTGTATATAAAAATAAATAAATAAATAAAGTCATCCTTGACCTATGTTTACCACTGTCTGCACATTACAGAAGAAATCCATTAAAAAGAATTAGGTTAAAAACAACAAATAAAAAGGTACATATTTAATAAAACAGTATAAAACAAACAATAATAAAATTAGCCATAGCATGAACAATGTATAAGTATATAAAGTAAAATAAGATAAAAAATAAAACAAAAGTCTAAGCTAGGCATTACAATATAAAATATATTTAAGAATTTCTTAAACAATCTTCTAGTTGAAAAGTATGAGAGATTGCTTGATAAGAAAAAGATCTCTGGGTGAGACAATTAATAGAATGGAGGGCAAAGACAAAAATGTGTCTGGGTAATGCAACTAAAAACATGTAAAAAAAATTTTGTCCAAAAAATAACACTGGAAATGTTTAAAATTTGAAATATTTTGATCATATCCTATTCTAGCCTTTGACAGAGGAACATCTGACCTGGACCTTGAAACTTCATTGCAGTCAATGTATGGTAAATTTGAAAATTTATTTACAGATGAACACATTTGTATGAATATACATGATGGCTGTTAACCATATCATTAAACAATAATCAACTAGAAATTAGTAAAATAAAAAAAATTGCTCGGAGAACTAATTGATCAGAGATGCATAGAAGAATTACCAAAGTATACTTCTGATGACTACATTTTTCTTATAATTTTGCAAAAGTGCCCAGACAAGGTATGGCATCTATCAAATATGATATCAAAGTACCATAATAAATAAAATTATATTTTAAATATCTATATAACATTAAGAAATTCATTGCTGTTTGACATGGATTGACACACAATGACAGAACACAAAAATAAAAATCTCTTAATTTATGTAAAAATTTTTGTTTTGAAGAATCTTTGAAGTATTTTGTTTAGGAGCTATCTTATTTTTGCCTGTACATTTCTGTAAGTGTATCCTTCAAGCATTTTGGATCGACATTAACTGTAATTTTTGTCAAACAGAATTTTTTAAATTTATCTCCTTGCAGACCTGTGAAATAAGTAAAGATAGGGGATACTTTGAGTTTTCTGATTTGATCTTTTTGCAGATCAAATCAAAAAATAGATTTATACGACACTGCAAATTCGTATATAACACTGAGAAACTAATAATAAAATTGCAATAACTGAGCAATGGAATGAAAATTAATAATATATTAAATCTGAATAAACAATAATTATAAATTATTTTTTTAAATTAAAGTTTTTCAGTTCAAAATGTTAATGACAAATCAGGTTCATGCACTTTTTAATACTTTTCTACAGAAATTTAATATTTGATGTATCTGATTTATTATATGCAAAAAAATATCTGCCATAACTAATTCCCTTTTCCACCTGTGAGTGTTATTGTGCACACTTAATAATTTTATTAGTCAAATTTATTATTATTATTATTATTTTGTTATTTCTCTAAATGACAAAATATTAAATTTGAAGGCAAGAAATATGAAGTTTAATTAAAAAAAAAGGAATTTTATTTTTTCATTAATGTACAGTGAAAGAGCTAAGAAATCTAAGCAATAAATAAAGCATTTAATTAATAAAATCTAGAAAAAACAAAAATAACTGGTATAAGGAATAGTAGAGAGAAAATACTACACAGTGTGTTCTGTGAGGAAGTGGCCATATTTTTAGTGTATTCTAGAGGCCTGGGAGATCCAAAAATGTCCTATAAACATAGCCTTTCAAGTGCATTGTTTCAGTGATAAAAGGGTTTAAAGTTCAGACAAGCTATCCCTTAAGGTGCTGCAGAATAGCCTCCATCTTGCTGCCCTTCAACTTCTTACCATCAAAACTTTTTGTTTTTACAAAAATGTATGGTTTGTTTACATTTCTTTGCACTTTAGTACAGCAAAGAATGTCCTTAAGTCTCTAGAACAAACTATAAAAATATTGCCACTTCCTTGTGAAACATCCTGTGTATACAGTAATTATCTCCATCCAATAATACCAATCTAAATACAGGTATACCTCACCTTATGTCGGTAATTGGTTCCAGGAGAACGACGTAAGTCGAATTTACTTGTCTCCGAATCTACTTATCAATAGGCTAAACCGTAAATTACCATTCCCGGTTCTGTATTTTATTTATTAATGCAGTATTAATAATATATGGTTAATAAAAATCTATTTTAAGCTTACAAACAAATAAATTTTAGTTTTTAATATAGTACAAAAAAAGTAATCTAAATTTACGAATGCATGTACTGTAAATACAGTGCATACTTGTATATATTTTAATATGATTTTATGTGCTTTAAACGTTTTTCTAGTGATATTACGACTTCAATATTTGTGGCGGACAGACGTAAAGTCGAATAAAATGACTTAAACTTGATTTTTATTTTTCCATATACTTTTTTAACAAGCGACGTATAATCGGGAACGACGTAACTCGAGGTATGCCTGTACAAAATAATACATTAGAATTTATATTTACCAAAATTTAATATGAAGATAAATTAAAAATACAATTAGATATTAAAAGTAATTTCTCAGCAAAATGTGTTGGCGTTGATAGCATTAATTAATTTTAATCTTATATTAAAAGAAAATTTTTTTTAATTAAAATATATTAAAATAAATTCTCTCATATTTACTTACTTTACGACAAACTAAAAGAAATTCTTCTAATTTATTATTATCAATTTGTAAATCTATAATTTCTTTTTCTAAATCTTCATACCGTGATTCTGTTAAAATCATACTATCTTTAAGTTTATCATTTAGTTCTGATAATGTTTTTATTTCATTTTCTTTTGTTCCAACTTCCTGCATTAATCTTTCTTTGTCCTCTTCAATTGACTTAATTTTTTCATTACTATCAGCAGCTGAACTTTGTGGAATTTTTTTAAATTCTTCTATTTTTCTTGTTAATTTATCATGTTGTTTAAGTATTCTTTCAACATATTCATTAATTTTTTCAATCTCTATTTCAGAATTTATAAGAGAATTTTCCAAAGTTTGTTTTGTTTCTGTCTGAATATTTTCTGTTTCTAAAGAATCAGTATCCAAAATTTTACAATATATATCATTTAAACATTCTTTAAGAATTTGATTTTCTTGTGTCAGCAAAGCAATTTTTTTGTTACTTTCTAAAAGAGTCATCTTTTCTGTATTATCTGATGTCTTTAGTTCCTCCTTATTTTCATCTGTTGCAATAATCAGATTATCCATAGTGTTTTCACTTTTTTTTTCTTCTGTTTTCAATTTGAGTGCTTTTAAGGATACTATTTCTTTTTTTAAAATGTCATTTTCTTGAATAATACCTTTCATTTGAGACTCTTTCTTAGTCAGTTCTTTCTGACTTTCTTTTAGTAGATTAGCCATAATCCGTTTATCTTTTTTTAATCTATCTAAATCGCTTTTTATTTCAAGAAAATTTATTTCTGATATTGTTCTATATTTTTCAATTTTTCGGTCATTTATCTAAAAAATGAATAAATAAATATAATTAAAAAAATAAATAAAAATTTTCAATATAATTAAGCAATAAATTAACAAAATAATGTAAACTAAATCAATAGAAGTTTTGTTTTGTTCCAGAGCGGCTGGTAACAATTACCAGCCGCTCTGGAACAAAACAAAATTACTGAAAGGCTGCAACGAACAATAGAAGTTTAGGATAATCTTCTAAATTTTATTTAATAAAACAAACTGTAATAGCTTTTCAATTTATTTTTATGTTAAAGTTTAATAAATTAATAATACAATGTTGTCCAGAAATAAATAATATCAATTTAAATAATCTGCAACTCTCACTTTGAAATGATCTTTTCATTATGTATTTGTAAAATTTTAATCATTATCATTTAATAAACGAGACAGTTAAATTACCTATCTTTAGACAAAATCAAATAAATTTATAACTATTATAACAATAGTTTTAACTCTGCAGAGTATGTGCTGTCAAAACAATCACATGAGGTTATATCTGTTAGATATAATAATACTAAAATTGCTTTAAAATGTGTATTGGTTGTCAAAAGTTTAATTTAAAAAGATTTGTTGTATTTCTATCAAAATGATAATGTTTTTTAAAGCATGAGAAGAAATATTAATTTTTAAGAGATTTTAATAAAAAAAAAGATTATACAAAAATAAATTTAAAACGAAACCTGCAATAACTGACTTACAAATATAATGAATATTCTATAAACATATATTAACTATGTATGCTTTAACATTCTTTTGTACATTTTGGTTTACAATAATAGTACCATAATGTATGAAAACAATTTGAATATCATAAAATACTATACTGAATGTGATACTAAATAGCAGATACTTAAGAAATTGGACTGAAAAGGACAAAAATGCATATCCCTATATGAGAAAGTACCTGTTGTTGAGTTTGGCTTCTGAAAAAATTATTACATAAGTTTCATTGAATGATGCAAGTAAAGGAAAGTGAATAGAAAAAAAATGATTTAAAATAATTGATAATATTTGTTCTGTAAATAATTTCTGCTGGATTGTAAAGGTTTTGGTTTTGAAATTTTGCTTTATAAAATTTTTATAAGTATATTTATATAAATTTGTTTCTTTGCTTACAGAATTATATAAAGAGTCTAATGTTAGAATTAAATGAGGCTGTCTTTGTTCTAGGCTTTTATTTTACTGCTATAGGTGTTAGACAGGGTTGTGTTTTGAGTCCTGTTTTGTTTAGTTTATATCTAAATGATTTAATTGAACAGATAAATAATTCTGATTATGAAGGTATAGATGTGAATGGCAATAGTGTTAAAATATCGGCATATGCAGATGATATAGTTTTGATTGACTCCATTAGAGGTTTACAAGGATTTATTAATATTTTGGATAAATATTTACAGTAGAGCATTGATTTTCCAAAAGTCAATCATCCGAAACGTCAATCATCCGAAAGATTTCCAGTCGGCAAATTTAAATTTTTGCCAGTGCTGTGGAGCTTCAATCTTTGGCTATGTCTTGGGCTACTCAAATATTTTACATTTTTGATACTAAATTAACATCTGAAGTATAATTTTTTATTGTTTTTATATTTTTCAATATATTTATTTTGTTTGTACAAAACAAAAAACTAATTTTTAACGATACAATAGTCTTTGTTAGGCTTAACATCAATGAAAATTCAACGCGAAGCGACACGCAACGGATAAAAATTTCAACATCGGATACGTTAAACTATTTTTTCATACATAAATCGGTTATCCGAAATATCAGTTATACGAACAACCCCAGTCCCCAATTGATTCGGAAAATCGACGCTCTACTGTATTAGAAAATAATATGAGTTTGAATCTTATAAAATCTAAAATTGTTGTTTTCTGTAATGGAGGTAAACCTGCAAAGTTTGATAAATGGTGGTTTAGAAAGGTTGTAATACGAATAGTTTGCAATATAAATATCTGGGTGTTATATTTAAGTATAATGGAAAATATAAATCCCACATTCATATTTCTAAAAGGAATGCTTTTATTAAAACTGATAGAGTTATCCAGATGTGTAAATCGGCTAAATTACATAATTTGAGTGATTGTTTAAAAATTTTTAATTCAATTGTTATTTCATCTTTGTTATATGCTTCTGAGGTATGGGGATATCAATCTGATGATTTAGATCCAGTTTTGACTATTTTTATTAAAAAGTTATTTCGTTTATCTCAGTGTACCCCAAGATATTTAATTTTTATGGAGTGTTCGCTATTACCTTTTTCCTTTGAAGTATTAAATAAGTGTTTGAATTGGATTTTTAGAACAATAGAATTGGATGAAAAATGGAGTAAAATGTGTTTATGTTATGTTTTAAATAAGAAGGATTTTATGTGGACCAAAAGTTTAAGGAATATTTGTATTAATAATGGCATTAATTTTGATGAATTATTAAATAATTATAACTGTTGTCCTTTACTGAAATTAAATTATTTTGATAACTTTATTTTGGACTTGAATTGGCATATTACAATATTTGGTACAAGTATTTAAATAAATCGTTTTTTTGACCGTTTTGTTTATAATAACAATTTCTCTTATAATACTAGCTCTACGATAACACAAATTAGATGTAACTCTCTTAATTTTTTGAGAATTATTGTAGAGATATTTGCATACATTGCCAAGGTGATCAGTTATTGGATGCATTTCACATCATAGCTAGGTGTACTAGTTTAGAAAAACTTCATCAAAGTACTTTTGGTGTCTCTACTATTTTGTTTGAAAAATTTTTGGACCTTATTTGTAATTTACACAATTTTGATTTAATTATTTTTATTCAGAAGGTTAAACTATTATTCAGGTAATTTTATGTTGATTTATTTTGTTTCAGTGGTCATTTGAGTAGAGTGATGTATATTCTGATTTGTTTTGCATATTGAAGCATTCGATTTTGCCCAGAGGTGGCATTAGTTTTTCCTTTAACTGTGTGTTCATGGCTAAGAAATTTTGGGAGACTATCCGCTGTTTGACGTGATAATTAACTCCTTTTTTTTGTCTTATAGGTGGGTGTAGTTAATTTTTTTATATAATTTGTTTTTTTATTGTTTGGATAGTTCTCCCCATAATTTTTATGTTGATATTTTGTTTAAAATATTATTTCTTAGTATTGGTTTTGTATAATTTGTATTTTATTTATGTTTATTCTGCTTTTTTGTTCTCTGTATTAATTCATGAATTGTAATATTACTGTAGTTTGTATTGTATATCTAATGATTTTGTTGTATGTATTCACCGCATCATGGGTTTTTCCAGTATGTCTAAATAAATAAATATTTATATAAAATTTTAAGAGAATTTTCAAAATGTGATTTGATTCACATTTGACAAACTGAATATCAACTTGAAATTATTGCAGCTGCAGCAAAATATAAATTTTTAAATTATCAGGACTTGGGTTCACTTGCAAATTTCTTAGGAATTCTGAAAATTCTGACTCAAAAATTTCACTTGCAAGTCAAAGTTAACTCAATATTTCCCATTGCCATAAGTACATGCAATTCCTCATTTACAAATCATCATTATAACAAATATGCATAACCAATCTTTCACTATTCTCAGTAACATGGTCAATGGTCAAATGCACAAAGTTGCTAGATTACGTGATAACTGAAAACTGGACATGTGGTACAAATAATAAAGGTTTCATGACTGTCATTTGGATGACTTTTTGGTTACTTAGTTTTTTCTGACAAATATTTTAATTATATGAATTTAAATGAAACTACTTATAAGTATAAGCTTATTAACAATAATTAAGTGAACTATTATACTTTTAATTTTGTCAAATACTTTTAGTTTTGTAAAATAATTAAATACAAACAAACCATACAGCAAATAACTTCTATGAATGGATTAATTCAGTACACTGATACAACAAAATAATTAGCAGGAATGGAAAATAATTTAAGACATTTTATAATTAATACTTTTAAATTATAAAATTTGTAAAAATGTAAATTAATTAAAAGGTTAAATGAATTTAGACCCATGATTAATAAATGTATTGTAGCAATCACATCATGCTTGTTTTCTAATTTTACTACTGAACAGTATTTCATGTGAGAGCATTTAGTGCAGAGAATCAGGCAAAATGCACTCAATGAAGCTGCCTGAAAGAGGATAATCTATAAACCTTGATGACAATACATTCACCTTAAATGGCTCATCAGTTTCCAAATGCAAGCTATTGAAATATTTAAATGTATGAAAGACAGAAAACAGAAATAATTCTTTATCTTGTAAACATTCTCATCTATTACACTTTAAATTAAGATTTGTATTTTTGTAAGTAAGGAATCCAAATCAAAATCATAAATATGTATTTAATTATATGAAATCAATGACTGTCAGGAAATAAATTTTTTAAATTTAACTTGTAACTCTTTGTATTTGACTATCATTCCTAGATCCACAAATAAAAATGACTCAGAATATTTTAGATCTACTGCAAGCCCTGAATTACCAATTAATTTATAAATCAAACTGAATAATAAAAGTATTTAATCTTCTAAACAAACTTAAAATATTAAAATCATTTTAAAGATTATATTCATTTCAAATATTTCTTACTGAAATCTTAATAATTATTTTATTAAATGTTGAAAGTATAAATTATAGTAGTATTAAACAATTATTTTTTAACACAATGTTATTGAAATTTAAATAAAACAAATTTTAACCTCAACTTAATAAATTTATTATCTATCATTATGTGGTTTTTATGTTACTATATTTATGATAATTTAAAACATGAAAGCAAATATAATTCTGACAATACATCATTTTAAGATAAAACATTTAAAAATATAGAAAAGACAATTAAAAATCAATATATCAGATATAACAAATTCTGACAAATTTTTATGTACTACTACAGGCATACCTCGACTTACGTCGTTTCGAGTTACGTCGTTCCCTATTATACGTCGTTTGTCAAAAAAGTATATGGAAAAATAAAAATCAAGTTTAAGTCATTTTATTTGACTTTACGTCTGTTCGCCACAAATATTGAAGTCATAATATCACTAGAAAAATGTTTAAAGCACATAAAATCATATTAAAATATATACAAGTATGTACTGTATTTACAGTACATGCATTTGTAAATTTAATTACTTTTTTTCCGATCTATATTAAAAACTAAAATTTATTTGTTTGTAAGCTTAAAATAGATTTTTATTAACCATATATTATTAAAAATGCATTAATAAATAGAATACAGAACCGGGAATGGTAATTTACGGTTTAGCCTAGTGATAAGTAGATTCGGAGACAAGTAAATTCGACTTACGTTGTTCTCCTGGAACCAATTACCGACGTAAGGCGAGGTATACCTGTATATGATTTAAAGTTAAATAGAAAAACATGCTTAAAAGTACAAAGAGAATAATTGTTCTTTTAGCAGTATTCTATGGGTTAAACTTTCCTAATAGTATTTGTGAAATATTGTTTATATAATATATTTGTTTGCTAGAGTGATGCTTTTATAGAAAATTTTTTGTTCTCTATAAAAGCATTATTGTATTTATATTATTAATACATAAAAAATTGTTTTTAAATAAGTGTTTGATGTATACTTTACTAAGAATTCATTTCTTAAATTTCAATAAAAACATATTTAATAAGTATTTGCTTCCTTTTCATCTCAATAAGATAAATACATTATTTTTGAGACTTTTGGCACCAGGTTATTTCCATATTTCTGAAAGAAATTCAAGTAAAATGAGAATTTTTCTAAGCAAAAACAATTATAATTATATGGGTTAATCATAATTAAAAATTAGGTGTTTAGAGCACTTTGTAGAACTATGGGAGAACTCTTGATCAAATTTGATACACATATTGTGCTGAGTATGTGATTTTAAATTTTCTGTACTCCAACCATCATTGCCATACCTCAGACCCCCTTTCATATGTATTTGCCATATTTTTATGCTTAAAAATATGGCGAATACATATTTTTAAGCATAAAATATGGCATAAAATATATGGCAGCATAACCTTCTCCTGCCCCTATCCCCACTACCAAGTCTATGCAGGATCATCTGCAATGACCGGGATAAATTCTCCACTTTAGAAAAATCAGGGGTCTATGCTGTACATACCACTGAAAAATCTTACAATGAGAATAAATATAAAGTACATTGGGACCACAACAAGAATGCTTGCTAGCCACCTAGCAGAACACCAAGATGATGTAGTGAAGGGAAGGCACACTACAGAACTTACAAAAAAGGTGCTTGAGCAGGATTACAACCCACTATGGGGACCCAAGCAACAATGCTCAAGTACTGCAAAAATCAAAAACTTGTCTTTATATGGGAGTCCCTTCTCACGACAACCTCAGATGCATGCAATACTCCAACTCTCAACCTGCCAAATGCATGGGTCACGTTGCATAAGCAGTTAAACAATGACCCTCATCCGCTGTCACATTACTAATGTGGGCCTACATCCACACATACACCACTTTGCAACATATGTATCACATTGCATGCACAACTTTGAACACGTTTGAAAATTAGTTGCTTGTTCTTAATGGTTTTACCAAATATTTTAATTTGAAAATATGTGCTCTGTTCTTCTTCTCAGTATATTCTGTATGTTCCTCTAAAATATTTATTCACACGACGACGACGATTATAAATTTGTTGAAAGTATCATACTTGCGATAAAAAAGCACTTATAACACCAAACTCAGTGAACTCTTCATCCTACTATACAATATTTGGCGTGAATATCAAATCTATAGTATACTAATGGCTGAATTTTGAAGTAAAACTTTTTCCTGAAAATGAAAACCATATATTCAAGATAACATGTATACAAATTTAATTGAAATTTGCCCCATAATTCCTTCTATTTCTTAATACTGTTCTTTAATTATGATTACCCTGTATATTAATTTTAAAAAATGTAATATACTGTACTTATGCCATATGATTGGATAAAAATGTTTGCATCTTACATTTGGACCTCTAAAAGGTCATACCAAATGAATCCTGTTCAAGAAACTGCTAAAATTCTAAAATGTTTATATATTTTCTTAAATATAGAATGAACTTGTGATTACAACACAATGAAAGTAGCTGTATAATAAGAATTTATTTCTGGTTTATTAAATAATTTTAGCAAGTAGTTTTTTTATCATTTTAAAAATGTCCTGACAATTTCATATTTCCTAAAAGTATTACTGCAAATTATACTTCCTTAAAATAAAACTTAATATATTTTAATATAACTTAATGTAATAAATTCAAATAAATAAGTTTCATTTATATTGAATCTAATTTGTTTATTAATAATAGATTTTTATACATATATTGATATATAAAAATCAATTATACAGTAAAAGATCTTTATACTGAAGATTTAGTCTTTACATATTTACAGGGTTCATACTAAAATTTTTGTTTTAAATTCCATGACTGTCCTTGACACTCACATCCCTTACAGTATGCACATTGACAAAATAAAACAACATTTGACTTACTATGCACATATGTTTTGCTTTTCCAATGTTAATTAGTTAATTAACATTAGAGAAGCAAAACAGTTATTTAATTAGTTATTTTTTTCTAATTAACAGTTATATATTTTTTTATAATTGCTGAATTATTAAAATTTAAAATAAAACATATTATTAAAATTCTGTTATTATCCATAACTATAAATCTACAAGGCTTTGAAAAATAGAAAAAAATCAATTATTTTTTATTATTCATTAACAAATTCTATATAATCCATGTACAAAAGTATATATTTATTAAATTTATCTCTTAATAAATTTCCTGAACTTTATAAAATACTAATAAACTGAAATAAAAAAAAATCAGAAATTGTTTTGTTATGCAACAAAATTATTAAAATAAAACATGATAAATAATACTATTTAAACTATTTATCATTTTGTGTACTTTGTAAATTTTTTGGAAAAATTTTGGACCCAGAAAATATTCTGCACCTCTTTTCATGAGTTGTATTGCACCACATTACTTCTTGCTGACTGCAGATGGCTACACTACACTTAGTCAAGCATATTGTCAGCAAAAAATCAACAAGGCAGCCAAGGAAGCAAATTCCCTGACTTTTTGACAATTTTTATCAAATTTCCTGACATTCCATGACTTTTTCTGAACACTAATGAAAATCCCTGATTTTTCCTGACTTTCCAGGTGTGTAGAAACCCTGTATTTATCTTTTCATGTCTTTAAAAATAATATTAAATATTTTTATAAATTTAAAATAAAACATACATAATAAATAAGATTAATTTGAAACTTAATAAAAATCTGTAGTAATATAAATAAATTTTACTTACATTTTCACATTTTCCCATACTACATTTTGCACTGCTTGATTTTCTCTTTGTCAAAATATCAATTTCTGATTTATTTTGATTATTATCTATTTAAATTAAATACAATTATGTATTATATTATTAAATTATATTATATTTAATAATATGTAATCAATACCTGATTTGTTTTCCTTCTTTGGTATGACTGGGAAGTTTCCTGTATCACTATTTCTCCTCTGGTTTAAAGGTGAAAGATTTAAAGGTGGAGGCCAACGATCTTGCCATTTGGTAGTTGGTATTTTCACTGGAACGAATGTAATTTGCTTAGATAGATCATCACTGCCATTTTCTACTAATACTGGTGAGTGAATAGATGGCAGTTTTGGATTACTAGAGGCTGGTCGTTTTTTTCCTTCTTTGTGTGTCAACATGATAACAAAAAACAATTGTTATGTTTCTTAAACAAAATTTCAAATATCTGAAAAGAAAGAAAATTATATATATATATATAAACAAGTTTATTACAGTAGATAAAAGCAACAAATTAAAAACAATTATAAACTTTATAAAATTGTATTAAAATAATAAAATCTTTGCTAAAATTTTCCTGAATTTATTATATTATTCTAAATGTTCATTGGGCTACAATTTTCAAAAATTATAGACCTATAAATCCTACTGGCATCCATCCTTAATTTCAAAAATGGAGTTAGATAGATGACAGTCAAGACCAGATATAGAAAGCTTAGGGGCAGGAGGCCTAGATTAACTATTCAAAAATTTTCTCCTGAATGGAATTAGATAAATGACTGGCATGACTTTATTATTAACAAAAAAAGTATGATGTACAGGGACAAAACACCAATAAAATTGAGAGCATGAAAAACTACAGCCCAACATTGATACTATGCCACCATAAACAATTGCTCATTACTATTGTTTACAATGTGACTTATTGAAGAATTTAAAGTTTTGAGAAAAGCCTAAGAAGTTTTCTTAGTTACATGTAATATACTAAAAATTATTAATTTTCATCTAAGACATAATATCTGATTTTTTCAATGAGCTATTATCCTTATAAATTATCATAATATTCACATTTAATCCAATTTAATTTAATTGGAATATCATTTTATCAATTTTAAAAAATTGCATGTATTTTAAAAATTTATTTTATTAAAATAAGTTTAAATATTTTTTAAGTTTAAACAGAGTTGTTTTTACAAATTAAAATAATCTTTTTTTTCATTTTTTCATTTATATCTTTACAGTATGTTATTACAACAGATATTTCTATCAGCTTTTACCATCTGAAATTCTTAAGCAAATGAATAATAAAGTTCTTTAATGGATATCTTGACAATATGAAAATCACATAAAACGATGAATTAAAAACAAGGTTTTTAAGTTACTAATAATACTGAAGCAGTTTTATCATCAAATTGAATCTAAAAATATATATTACTTTGAAGTATTGATTATTGCAAGGCTACAAATGACTTACTGGAAAATAATGTAAGAAATCGAAAGAGCTATGTCAATGAAATAATTTATTACTTTTTATTTTTGGAATTGGATACTTAGTATAAATGAGATGATTAACCAGAAGCTAAAGGTTGTAATCCTATTCAAATGTTCTAAGAATAAATATGAAAATTTTTTATGTAAGTTATTATAATCTTTATACAACTGTTAAAGGATAGCATGTAAAATTGGCTCTACTCACTGGAAATGATACAAATAAATTTAGGCAAAGGACACATGTTATAAATTTTATTTTAACATTATTTAAACATACAAAAACTCATATAAGATGTTGAAAGTGGTGTCCTTGTGTATCTATGTACATTTGTGTATGCATAATCATGTTCAGACTGACTTTATATGAAGTACTAAAGTTAACAGCTTCAATGCTTCTAAAAATGATTTCCTTCAGTTTTCATATAATGTACTTCTGGGATTGGTCTCATATACTTTCTCTTTTAAATAGCCACTATAAAACTGGCTTCATTAATATTTCATAAAAATTCCCCATAAACTTTCAGCATGATCAAAACAATGTGATGCATCTTCTGCACGGTCACAAACCTTGTATTTCTGGTGCATTTGATTTTAGAGAAGTAAAAATTCATTGCCAAAAATGCAGTACTTCTCTTAAAAACCAATTTTTGATGGCTCCTGTGAAGTAAGTATTTTGGAGATATTTGTGAACTAGGCTTAATTTCCTAACACACTGGGTTGAATATAAAATTGACTTACTTAAACCAAATAACCGGAGCATTTATGTTCTATTATTGTGAACGTTTTTGATGCCCCTTCTAGGCTCTTCCTCAGGCTTATACATATATTTGTTCCAAGCTGGCCATTAAATTTCAAACTTCATTTGAAGGCATTCGATTCAGGACGCCAAATGCGCATGTGTTCCAAGACATTCAAATATCGAATAATACGATGGGGTTTCGAAATGCACACAAGTTTCAATTTAATGAAACTATAGAAAATCCAATAGAAAATCAAATTCTATTGTCCAGTAAAACCTGCCATATATAGAAAGGGACATCTCTTTAAAAAGTCCACTGTGATATCCAGATCTGTCGCATAAGACGAAAGGGCAGTTGCATATTTATTATGTAGTATATCAGACTTATGCTCCTTTAATCTTACCCCCAAAGAATGTTTGGTGGAACCAACATATATCATTCTTTATCCTATCTGCCATCTCTTATAGGAACATTAATAAATGCCCAGTAATCTTTCGAGATTAGGATGGTCTTTTCTATTACATAGTATGTTGAAAATAATGGGCATTTTCTGTACACTATATGATCCCACATTTCGTAGAAGCCCGAGGAAGAGCCCAGAAGGGGTGTTGAAAACGTTTGCAATAACAGAACATAAACACACCAGTTATTTGGTTTAAGTAAGTTGATTTTATGTGAACTAGGCTGATGTTATATATAAAACATTCTCTCCGTAAATTATCCAGTCAAAAATACTTATTATTATTTATATAAATTACAGCCAAATGATAGATCCAAACCATTGACTATCATAAAACCAGCAAATTATTCTGTTGACTAAATTGTTGATCTAGCAGTAACTTATGATGTCAACGTATTTAAATAATGCCAACATTGAAACACATACAGGTATCCCTCATATAACATGGTAGATATGTTCCAAAAAAATGGTGTTATGTGAATTCATGTTATGTGAAAAAAAGGACCAATGCAAAACATAGGGTTACGTTCCAGAAGTTAACAAAAGTATACTATTCTTTCTTGTTACTAAGAGAAATATGTTTATTAAAAAAAATTAATACTTTATTCCCAATCAAAAATTAACTAACAAGCACAATTAAAAGTACTGTATGATGCATTTATGTTAATTTTAGCTAAACAAGGAAGTTTTCTTTTTTTAAAATATCATTATCATTTGAGCTTTATTCTTGATCTTAATCAGAATGATTAATGTTTGCACTTAAAATTTTTATCATAAGTTTCTATGGATGACAAAATAAAAATATGTTATTAATTGAAAATTTCTTCTAGTGAGTCATATTTGTCCAGTTGAGTACCAAGCAATTTTTTTGAGAATTTGTGCTAAAATATCAATTGTTAAGTATAGAGATACCACTGTATTTCATTCATAATTTTTATCAATGATTACTTACCTATGGCTAAAAAAAAGTTAATAACACTTATCTAAAAATGTTTAAATAAACTTTATTAAATATGAAGATTAATCTATAAAAGCAAAAGTTAGTGACAGTCTTAAAGGCTAAAGTCTGAAAGCAACGATAATAACACCTGGTTGATAGGAAAGCTAAGACAAGGAAGAAAAATTCTACTATCAGTTTTCATTAAAGTACACTTAACAAAAGGCACAAAACAAATTGAAAATATCAACCTTCAAAAATTTGTGGGCAAATTTGAGACAACACATATGTTTACTTGAATAAAAAAAATATTGAACAACAAAGTTTATAAAAACATCGAACAACAAAGTTAAGCCCAACTTCATGCAACCTGTTGTGAATGGTTTGGATGGACACAAATGCATCCGTTGATAGCAACAGGTGACTTTGGATATCACGTGTCATGGAAAACAAATCCTGATGGGCCATTCACCAAATCTATGCACCGTATCATATGCCAGCACAATCCACTCCCTCTTTAGCATGTTCTGCATCCATCATGTCACATATTGCTAGATGGTACTCACTTCATGACTAACATGCGTGGCAACTGTGCGCATTGACAAAACAGGATCATGCAGCTCCACAATACAGTCTCATTCTCCAGCCATCAACTGGTGGATCAACTCCAAGACATTTTCTATGTTTTTTTTTTTTTTTTGAAAGTTCAGCTGCCGTGAGCCATCACCGATAACATTTATGGTACAAACTGGCACTGGTCTTTCTAGCCTGATACTGGATACCACATGACCTGATTCATATGCAAACTTAAGCAATTATTTATGGTGACATCGTCACAATGCCAGCCAGCAATTTTTAATCTAATTTAAAAATATATGCTCTCCACCTGAAATTAGTACTGTAGTGTCATGTCCCTGTACATCATTCTTTTCCTTTAACAATAGAGTTGTGCCGGTCATCTATTAACTGCTTTCAGGGGAAAAGTTTTGAATTGGAATAATGTAACAGTTTGCATCGGAAGTTCGTATATAGTTAATCGGGACCTCCTGCCTCTAAGGTTTCCATATCTGGTCTTGCCTTTCATCTACCTAACTCTGTTATTGAGATTAAGGAAAAATAGACAGATAAAGTGGAAAATTTTTTAAAATTGCAGCCCAATAATGAATTTATCTTCATCAGCTAAAAATGGAACATAACTAGATAAGTATATTTCTTTACAAATTTGAAACCATGTCTTCCTATTTTCTTTGTTTTTTTCAGCACAATGAAGTGCATTAATTAGACACAAAACAGTTTTTTCATTCTTTATTTATTCATTGGTCAATATGCATTTTGGGTAATTGAACATACATTTTGTAACAGTTGACCGAAGAGGAGTACCAGAGACCCAAAACACGTATTGACCAAATAATAAATAAAGAATGAAAGTTTTTTAAAAATGAAATGAATATGCTAATTGAGAAAAGGAGATTATATGTGAATGCTGAGTAAGGGATTTGTCACTCCCAGAATCATAATAGAGCATATATATTAAATTTTTCCCTTTATTTAAAATTTAAACTTATTAAAAGTATAACAAAATAGTATTTTTAAACAATGTTACTTATATAAACAGTAATAATTAAACCTTGTATTCGTAAGAAACTGAAGTAGCAAAGCAGAATTAATTAATCTTGAATATCATGCAAATAAAATAAAGTATTATTAAAATAAAAGATCAATTCTCAAATTCTGAAGAAATCAATCTGAAAGCTTAAACATTATTGATCAAATTACATCTAAACTCTGTTTTTATTTCATTTAAAACAAGAATTCTATTAAATCTTCATATCAATTTATCAATAACATTAACATTATTATTTGTCCATATAATTTTATGAGAATTGCAACATTAAATAAATGCATAGCAGTTAATAAAATGTTTCTGAAATAGAAAAAAGATCGTCTTAAACTGCTAATTGCATCGCCGAAACGGTTAATAAAACATAAATAATCAAACTATCTCACCAACATCTGATTATCGTCTGCAAATCATTTTTACAAGATTGGAATTTCGAGGAGATGCGCCCTCCTTCGTCAAAATATCAATTTTAAAATATTTTTACATTTTTTTTTTTTTTGTTTAAATATACATACTGTATATATTTGTTCAGTTTATTTACAGAAGTTCTTAAAATATGTTTTTTTAAAATAAAACTAGTAAAAAATTACATTATTTTATTAATTTTTCCATGTTCATTGTAGATTCGGCCAGTTCCATAATGGAGCATTCGGATGATGAGGAACGAGACCCCACTGTAAAAAATATTTCAGATTCTCGAACCTGACTCAAAATCATACTCCAGAGAAGCGGGTTGTCAACTCTGCTATCCGGCAATTTGTATGACTTTCTGATGCGAACATTTTAAAATAAAATAAAACTATTTTCTTGGATGGAAAATTTAATATTGACGTTCGAATGAATAAACGAAAAATTTACTTGTGAGACGTAAATCTAGGAACTTAGCGAAGCCGCGAGTCAAAACCGGTGACGTTTTCAGTGTCGTCGCCCGACGGCCGGATGGCCGAGCAGTCAAAGTGGCACTCTGGGAATTCCTGATAGAATCCAGACGAGTCTAAAAATCCCCAGGAATTCTTCGGGGAGTGGTCCGTACAGATATGTCGGGCCCCGTCCCTCACCATCCGGCCGCCCCATTTTGAGCCTGGCCGAACCCACAATAAGCTTGCTAAAAGATGCCCTCTTAGTACCCACAGGACGAAAAGAGTTAAAAAAAAAAAAACCCATCTCGGATTTGATCAGGCTCATAAAGAGGCAGCGTGAGGCAGGTGACGAATCCCGACATATCCACATTAAATCACCCATAATTTTTTTGTGTATCTGAGGATTTAACACAGATTCGAAGTACGGCATGCTGTATGTTTTTTTCATTTTGGCTCTTTTCATCTTGTGGATACAGATAGGGCTTGTTTTTTCATACCCATCGTCAATTCAGCCAGACCCACAATGGGGACGGTCGGATAGCGAGAAACGGGATTTGACGTATCTTTTTTTTTTATACTCTTTCCGCCCTGTGGGCACTAAGAGGGCCTCTTATAGCAGGCCCATTATGGGTTCGGCCAGGCCCACAATGAGGCGACCGGGTGGTGAGGGACGGGGCCCGACATATCCGAACGGACCACCCCCGAAAAATTCCTGGGGATTCCTTGACCCGTCCGGATTCGATTCCGTGTCCCCCAGAGCGGTAGGCTGCCACCTTGACCGCTCGGCCATCCGGCCGTCGAATTCGACGTATCAGGGATAGACCACCTTTCGAAAAATTTTTGGGGTTGCTCGCCCGAATTCGCTTCCCGGGATCCCTAGAGCGGTAAGTGACGTCCTATCCGCCTCGCCATCTGTCCTATTCCAACTCCTACGTTATCAAAAATCCCCACAAATGACGTCAAACTCCATTCTTACTCTTCCAACCGCCATAATGTGATTCTGACGAACCCATGATGAGCGTGAAGAAAAACTTAGTTATCAATTTTCAGACTAAGGCATTCTCTTGTTTTCTAAAATTTAAATGTTTATTGTTTTGATAATTTATATGTTAACAATTAATATATATATTTTAAAGTTCCTAATAATATATTTGAAAATTTTTAGCTATTTTTGGGTGATGCCAATTTATGGGGTTCCTCTAAATTTAGGGGATAAATAGTTCGGGAGGAAATGTAGTATGCAATCTTAGTAGAATTTGACGCATATCTGTCCTGAATTGAAAATTTAAGCTTCTCTAGATTGTCAAAAACTAATAATTTTTAGATATGGTACTTGGAGCAAAACGATTCAGGGGAATTTTAGTTTTTAGAGGAAACTGTTTAGGGGTTTTTCACGACAGAAGGTTGGCAACACTGAATAGAACTTGTATAAGTCAGCATGGATTCGGTCGACAGGGAGAAAGCATTAAGAGATATATCCAGATTAGAAAAAGAGGCTCTTGACAGAATCGAAGCAGATAGAAGATATTGGGAAGAAAATGCTGCGAAATTTAGAGCCGTGGAACAGAAAGTGGGAACTTACGAAGAATTTGCAGACATCGTCAAAGCCTGCCATTTGAAACCATTAACTAGAGACGATTTTAAAAACAAAGATTTAACCAATAAGAAATCGTCTCTTCTCGAAATTGCCGACGAAAATTACGAATTTGGAATTACTTGTCAACCCAAAACAAGACAGGAGTTTGAAAGGAGCTGGAAATATTTTAAAAATGCCAAACAACGCTTTCTATTGCTAAAAAATTCAGAGAAACTCTTTATTGATTTTATATCCGAGCATATAGGAGAATTAGCACGTGTTTTTATTGAATGCTTCGATATGGAAAACATCCCTTTCATTATAGATGTATTAGAACAAATCTGTCCGATTAACAGGTTTAAGTTGTGTGTACAATTTCTTACAAAAAAGGAAGAAAATGATTTGAAAAATTTGTTTTCAAATTTAGAAAACAGTATTCATGATAAGGAACTTCGTATGAAGCTAGAAAAGCTGAAAACTATTTATTTGAATGAAATGAAGTGCGCATGAAATGAAAATGTATATCCTTATACATTTTGTACATTATCTCACCTTCCATCTGTTGCTATTTACCAAGATTTTTTAATGTGATTTCATAATAAAAGCTTTTGTTTTCTATATAATTTTACATATAAATCACAACATATTGAAGTAAGGATCAATAATTCACTTAAAAAAAATGACATAAAACATTTTGCTAGAGGTGTGCATAATTTAATGAAAATCACTGTGATATATGTCATTTTTGGATTTGATTTATGTAATATATATAAAAAAGACAGTTTAACAGATGTAAAAAATTATAGAATTGCTTTAACTTAAATAATTTTTTGTTTCATAGTAGGATAAAAATTTTATTTTGCAAACCTAGTTATTATATAGCATATTACTGTATGTTCTATTTACTGATTGAACTATTATCAATAAATTGTTTAGTCACTTTATTATTATTAAAATGTTACAAAAGTGCATTAAAAGTTTAAAAAAATGACAAATAAGTTCAGTGAAGTTTTATTAAAGCATCTTAATGTTTACATTCATTTAAAAACAAAATTATGTGCAATATGTAATGTTATTTGAAAAGGCAATTACAATATTTTAAAATCTAAAGCTATTATATTTATGATATCTTTAATTACTTTATCGATGATTTATTGCAATATTGCACTTAAGATAGGAATTGTAATCCATACAAAATAACTAATTTCATATTTGTTACATTTTCCTTTATTTAGTAAAGTCATTCTATGTCTGTGAAAACAAATATTAATGAATTTTTAATATAAAATGGTTTTTGAACTGTACTAATTAATTTTAGCATTACTGTTGTTGTCTGATATTTTCCCAAGCTCTTTGGCTCTAAAAATAAATGACACTTCTGCTTAGAAGAAAATTGCTACAAACAGCAAAAATAAATAAGTGGAATATACTGTATGAGTTGAAATATGATGCATTATTCTAGGCATATTTAAACTGCTTCATCTGTTTTTTTGCTTTCATATAATGTAGTTAAAAATTTTAAATGTATGATCATCAATCAGTTTGGTAATGTCTCAAATTGTAAATAAAATAGTCACATTGAAGTTAAAGAAATAAACTTTAGCCTATGTATGATGTCTAAATTAACAAGATAAATTTTTAATTATAATATTTCGTAATTTTGAAAATCTACTTTTCTAAAAATAAAACTATAACAATAATTGATATAGAAACTTTTCACCATGAGAGAAAAACAGGACTTCAGTTATATGCAATAACCTTTGATATTTCAAAATTATAATTTCATTTGTATAAAGTCAGATGAGAAGAATTAAAAAAGTAAAATTAGGTTAAAAGCAGCAAAAATGGAGATATTAAATTTATTACATGTAATTATGACAGCAATTATTACTGTTACAATCATTGATAACAGGCTCATCATTTTAGTCAGAGCTGATTTATGTATAAGCTAAGTAACTATAGCTTGGGGCAGGGCTGTCATTATTCTTAAGACTGACAGGCTGAAGTCTTGGACCTTATTTTGCTGAGGAACAGTTATCTATTCTAGGTATACACTCCACACTGGAATAAATGTAGAAAAGACATTAAACCAACTTCTGGTGCATATAATACAAAGTTTGTATTATATGCAACCAGAAGTTGGTTCTGTGTCGGTTATATCTACTCTGGGATTCCAATGGTTGAAGACACTGCACTCTGCATCATAGCAATACATGTACAGTATACACATTTTTATCCATATACTGTATTTACTCACATACAGGACGAGGTATGACTTTAAAGATCAAAATAAAAAAAATTAGATTTATTAACACAATTCTAATGTTATTTTGTTTAATCACAAATAAAATATCAAATGCATGTAAATGCACACATTGTCCTGCAAAAATTTCTGGCATTTTAAACTTCAAGAAAAATCTTGTAAAATTGACAACATAATTTGTTCATGTAAAGCTGGACAATTGGGAACCTTTTTTACCAATTCTTAACAGTCGAATCCACTCTTCATCGATTACACTTGAGTTTCTCCAAATTCTGATTTCTGAATAATCATCTGTTCTCATGCGGAAATGAATTAAAACTTATATCGGGCTCCCGTGTAATTTTGGAATTCAACTCAAAAACTTTGCTTTTCCTATTGCTATTCATCTTTACTCCTGACAATACACAAGAATGATTAAATGACCCAGATAAAAACAGAGGGTTTTTAAACACCAGAAGGTGAGAATCTGGTAAGCAAGCATGGAGAGCAGCGGCATTATAAAGAGCTAATGGACATGCGCGATTGAATATCTGAAGATTATAGAACGTGCGTTGTTCGAATTACCGTTGGGAAAGTTCAAATTTTTAAAATTTTTTTACATCAATCCTGAAGAAGGTCTATGAATTAGACTGAAAACGTTAGAGAACTATCCAAAAGTAGACTGCATTTTAAAGGTATAGTGGAATGTAATTAATAATGCAGTTAGAGATTTAATAATTTAATTAAGAATCTGGTAAAAAATGCAAATACATTTTACAAAAATTATTGCAAAAACAAAACATCCTTTGCTTGCATGTATAGGACAACCTAGGTTTTTGATGCAGTGAAAAATTAATAAAAACCTCCTCTTATATGTGAGTAAATACAGTATATACTTTCATAAGTATACTACATATATTTCTTAATGCCATTTTACTTTGCTTACTGGTTCCTTTTTTCTTATCAACACCCTTACATAAATTACAATTGATTCTCTTATATACCCTCTATTAATAAGATAATTAACTGCTTCCTTATTGCAATGAAAAATTCTCAGGCTATCAGCTGTAGTGAAGTGAAAGATTGAAGTGACAGAGGGGCCCAAAAGCCTAGGGCCTTGTTTTATTATCACACACCGTACGTTTCTATATTCAACAGTTGACTCAATGGTGAGAGAACAACGTTTCTAATTGGACCATTGAGTTCTCCGTTGAGACTAGTGACGTCAGCGCTGTTTCACCATTGAGCTCAACGGTCTCAACGACCTGAAAGACCGTTGAGTATTCAACAAACTAACATGGCAGCTTCCACGAAAAAGTAAATTTCGCTTATAGAAACTATCCATTTGCTGCTGTGGATGCTGTAATAGCGAACAGATTAATAAACAATCTGTATATGATAAAACATGTGATTGCACGATTATGTTGGATAATTTGGTCAATATTAAAATATTAAGATTTTTTTCATTTGTCCAAAATTGATTACGACTGATATTTGGCCCGCTAAGTCTTCCTAATAATATAATTATTCAAAAAATTAATTAAAATTATTAAAGAAAGACCCAGTATACAAGAAAATGATACAGATATGGGTTCATTTGAATAAAAGGATTTATTCGAATAATGGTTAAGCGAGTTACTTTAATTATTTAGCAAAACAGTCACAATCGCCACCTTCTCGTTACTTAAGTCAGCCATCTTGAAAGTCGACCTCTCAACGAAAGCGTTTCTTTTTTCTGCAAAACGTGACGTCAGATCGTTCAAAGGAGGGACTCAACGGAAAATTCACTGTTGAGTCAACCGTTGAATATAGAAACGTATGGATTAAGTGCATTAAACATGCCTCAGGAATTTGTAATGCTGCTGGAACGCCCACTAGGGGGCGTCCCGGGCTACTATATATATAGTGGCTGTATATATATATTGTGGCCGAAGAATAGTCTCTAAACTGGTGGGGTTGGACTCTCATTGGGGCAGATGCCTTAAAATCACACCTACGGACGGCCTTTGGAGTAGTTCTTCCGGCTCATACGGTCAAGGAAACTTGGTCGCTACACACGAGCTGCAGCGTTTTCGGTGCGGAGGCTCTCGGCATCCAACGGGCNATAGTGGCCTTCTGTAGTGTGATGTATGTGTTTCTATTCAATTGTAATGTGCCCAGGCTTTTGTATAGTGTGTGTGGTATGACACCTGTAGAGGAGAGAACAACAGTACAATAAGCACCCTTTCCATCCTCCACAGATGCCTTATTTCCTGGGTGAGTTCTGTGTACTTGCTAATTATTATTATTATAGTTTTAGATTATTATTAGTATTTCATTTGTCTTTAAGTATTAAAATTTGGTCAATAATTATTTCTAGTCAATTATTTCACAAAATAATGAAAAATACTATTTTAAAGCATTTCAATTATTGAATTAACAGTCTCTAATTTGTGATCAGAATATAGTAGGCCCCAACTTAATGGACTAGATGGGGAAGAAGTCCATTAACTTGAATGTGTCTTAAAAACATACTAGTAACGAATTAGTAATAAATAACAGAGCCCACTGGCCTTATTGTTATGATTACAGATTCATCATACCCCTTTCCAAATTTTATTAACACATTATGTCCTGGAATGCATTTCAGCTTATTCAACAGCCTTCAAGAGGGCTCAGTTATTTATTACTAATTAATAGACAACAACAGAATAACTTATATTGAAGTATTAATACTGAACTTACAATATACAGGAGTATTAAAGCATTATAATGTATAAGTATGAATAAATTATTATTATACTGTAATGTACATTGAGTAATCTATACTCATCCACTCAACTTTTAGCTTGATCTTCAAATGAAAGGTTATAAATTTTTCATTTTTGCAATAATAAACCACAAAATCCAGTTTTTAATAATTACTGATAACAGAAACAATTATTCTCTACTAGAATATTCCATAATCTCTAAATTTTACAACTGAAAACATTCATTTATAAATTTTGTAAACATCCTTTTATTTTTTGAGAATAAAAAAAAATAATTGATGGGATAATTTTAGATGAAAAACTATTTTTAGAGAAACTAATTTATATCATTGTTATTGTCAAACATTTTCACATTGCATTCTCTATGTTTATGGTTTTGTTGTATGACTACCAAAATTTTTATCTGTTATGAAGATTCTACCTGGTGTTCAATTCACTTAGCCTATTGTAAGAGTCAATAATGAAAATAGTTACATGCAGGCAATAAACTATTATTATTAGACTAATAAATCATTGATTTCTTTATATCATATAATACAAAGAACTATAGGGCTTTGCTCTCTTATTCTCAACACACACTATTCATAACAAAAATTTCATAATTCAACACTTTCCAGTGCTGCCATTTTTTTTTGTGTGACAGAAAATAGTTTTAAGCTAAGTATTTTAAATTTATATATATATAGATCAATTTTCATAGAGTATCTCAATACCATACACCTACAGAGGAGATATATCAAATATAATATAGATATATTCTGAAATAGAGATGGAAAAGATTACTGTATAAAATTCACATACAATCTTTCATCTTGTAGATTTGACATGATAAAGCAACGTTTGTAAGATATGTATGGGAGTAAAATAATTATGAAGCAAAATATTAAAATTTCAAACAGTTGCTAAATCAGGAAATAGGCAAGTTTGACAAAACCAACATAGATGACGAGATAAGCTTTGAGTTTGTCACAAAAGATCAGAATATATAAGTAGCAAGTTTATAATTTTCTCTGATTTTCAAAAGCTACAATGTGTTTCTTAACACAAAAAATGTGGGTCATGGAGCCCTGACACCCAAAGAACTTTAAATAATATTGTTTTTCTAAAATACTAATTTTTCCAGAAAAATATATATACACAAAGCATATTCCATTTATATTTCTTTATTAGAAATTCTATTAATAAATCCATTCTTTTATACATGTTTGATATGAGCAGCATTATAAATTAAGAAAAGTTTTGAAAAATAGTCTAACAATATAAATACTAAAATTTTAACAGTTATACAATTTCATTTCTTACATTGCATTTACATTTGTCCAATTAGAACAATCCAAATATGTTAAATTATTATTCACATTTATTGCCAGATGATTAAGCAGAAGCAATGACACAACAAGAATATTTCCTTTATTTTTGCATACAAATTCCACAGTTGCTCATATCCGTTCGTATAAATATAGATATCCCATTTCTTTTGGAGGATGTTTAGATAATGCTACTTTCTCGTCATTAAAAATAACCCAATGACCATCTTTTAAAAGATGACAAACATAATGGCCTACCATGGTCGAAGTACCCATATGACTAATAAATCCTATAAGTCTATATGCTGAAAAATTAAACAGAAATTATTAGTAAAAGTTTGAACTATATAAATTTTAGTAACAATAAAACAGTTAACAATTTAGTAAATTAGTTTTACACACATATACAATCTTCCAAAATAAATGCTACCATTTTAAATTACTAAAATTATTATCTGAGAAATATGCAATATATACCAATCAATAGAGTAACTATCCAAGTTTCATCTGCCATCTGCATTCAAATGTCTTGTTGTCTACTATCTTGAAGTGCCAAAAATGAAAATGGCCACTCTGCAATAGAGAAGGCATTTTCTGTTATGGTTGGAATCACTCATCATTGTGCAACATGAGTAATATGCAGGTGTAGAACTGTGGCTGCCGAGGGAAGAATGACAATGGATATGCTGTAGCAAGTGTAGGAAGAATTTGAGTATTGGTTGGATGTGTGCCATATGACACAATGTGCACACTTTGAGAAACTATAATGGGTAAATGTTAAACTTGGACAGTTTTCTAATGTTTTAACATACATTACAACATTCTTTGATAATAACATAATTACAATAATTTAAAATGGTAATGTTCTTTTTGAAAGACCCTGTAATATATATTAACTAACTATTTTAAGCTAAATATCTATTCTATGTTACTTTTTTTTTTTTAAGTCAAGTTCTTGCAAAATAATCAGTGAAGTAGACAACCTACCTTCTAGATGTCAAAGATTTTTAATGTTTATTAAAAATTCAGGAAAATTTTTTCCTATTAACACATTCTAAAATCGCTGATGAAACTCATGAACTTTTCCTTGATATCCGTTACAATTTTAATATTTTTTTATATCATGCGTATTAAGATTGCCTTGTTTAATATCTATTAGATGTTCTATTCAAGCCCACAATGGGGTGCTGGGATGATATAGAATACAGTCCAATATAACCAGATCAAACATCTATAAAAATTTGAGGAGCTGATCCAAGTAGGTTCCAAACTCAAGTTATTCAGAGTAGCAGGGTGATACCCTTACTGCTTTGGCCATATGACCATTGAATCTTAGAAATAAAAAGTTGCTGACTACAATAAATTCTCATTGACTTAAAAAAACAATCCAATATGGTATGTCAATTTTTTTTTATTAAATACTTATTCAAAATAAAAACTTTTTAAAAATTATATTAAAAAGACAGCCAGTTTTCTCAACTATTCCTGTAGAACAGGGATGGCAAACCTTTGAGTTCACATGCCATATAGTGAACATAATTATCTTTAAAATAAATGCAAAGAAGCTGATTGAAAAAAGGGCAATCAGATAATAAACTGAAAGGATTATTGAAAAAGATGGGTGATGAACCAAAATCATATGACAAGTTACACAACAGTTGATTCTCCCAACATGCCATAGGTTCACTACCCCTGTTATAGGAGGTTTATGTGCATACTAATAATGTATAATCATATCAAATATATATATTATTACTTACTTCCACTACCATCTCGAAATTTAGGATCTGGCATTGCATTGTCATCAGTTTCCATTGGAGTTTGTGAAAGTTCATCTGCATGACTAAAAATCCAGTCTGCAGCTCTCTCCAAATTATTTTCCTATAAAAAAAATTTATCAAAATTATGAAAAAGTGTTAAAGAATGACAAACACCAATACTTCAATTGATAAAACAAAAGTTGGAAGTGCTTAAATACTTTAGTTGTGATGCATTTTTATTTATTATCCTGTTACTAAAGTTTCTCCTATTACCATAAATACTGTGAATTTTAAGAGAACTTATTTCTATTTACATTTTTTTTAAAAATCGTTCTCAATAGGAAAGTGTCACATAATTTATTATTTTGATATACTTTCTGATACTATTTATAAATATATAAATTACAAGTGTATGCTTTCATGTTGTTAAGATTTTGGTCAATACTTACTGTAGCTTTCAAGGCACATACAGCTTGTTCTTCTGTAAAACCCATTGCTGCTATTGTAGCTACAGCTTCAGGATTTGGAACAAAATCTGATTCCTTTTCTAAATTTGTAGGAAGAACAAATGGGGAGGCATAATCTAAAATAAAGAACAGAAAAGTTTATAATTGTTAATAAAACTGAACTAAAATAATATACAGGTTTTTGCCAATATAGTGTTTCTTTACTTTATAAACTGCAACATTAATTTTTCTTTACTAGATTTTGCAATTTTCTTTATTATAAACATAATACTCATGCCATGATTTAAATTTTATTGATTAACACTTTCAATTAGATTTATGTTCTTTCATCGTGTATTTAATGTAAGAAAACCATTTCATTAAAAATTTTGTTCAAGTAAGTGGCATTTTCAGGTCAAGCTCTTAAAATACATATTTGAGAAGTAGGTTTACAGCTATATAATAGAACCTCCATATCTGTGAAGTTAAAATTTGCATATTTACATAAAAATTAACAAAAGTAACAAAATGAATAGACTATAAGAAAAAAAATTAAATTATTTAATTATCTTAAACATGTTTAGAAATTTGTGTTGCTAATCCAATACATTACACTATTGGATACTACCTTGTACTTTTTCTGTATTATTTTTGCCTATGCACTTAAAGCAGATAATAAGCATTAAATTTTTACAAGAGAATTTTAGTTATTTTTCTTTTATCCTTACAAATCAACATTGTCACCTAAACAAATAATCTTCAGTTACAAATATAAGAAATACCAAGTGGTGTCCATTTTATTCAAAAGTGAAACACTGATTGCTTTCAAGAAAATTCAGTAGCTTTGGTTAATAGCTTTCATAATAAATGAATCTTATAATATATTAGATACATTTACAGATTAGAAATGTAATAGCAATGAATTTTCATACAAAAACTGTTTAATATATTTCACCTTTTCATATTCACAATTTTTGCAAAAACAATCAAAATATGATGATCCTATTTTAATTAATTTCAGTTTATAGTTTGTAACTATTCTATATCATTCTTTAAAAAAATGTATGTCGTTCATCATATATGAGGTATTATTAACTTTATTAAATTTAAGCAGTGATAAACAAAACAAAAATGCTTTTTACTGTGAGATGCTATATTACAGTGATTTTCAATCAGTGTGTAATTAGATTACTGTAGGTGTGCCAAGAAAACTTCTGAAGGTTATTAAATAAATTATTTTCGAAAGAAGTTCAAGCAACAATAAGTGTAACTGTCAAAATTAAAATCGCTTTAAATTGATTATTTATTATAACAATGTAAATTCATATAAACATATAATGTAATAAAAAATATATATTCATAAACAAATTATATGTACATAACACCAGGTTATTTCATTTAAAATGAAATTTTCTTTAAGTCAAAAATGTATCTATAATTGTCCATATTTAGTTCAAATTATTTTAACTTAGAAATAGCAGGACATTAGGCAGATTTCTAAAAGCAATCATCATGCAACTTTTAAATGTAAATTAAGATTGAATATTGTTTTCTTATGTAAATCAAAATTATCAAATTAAATAACTATCATTGTAACCTGCTGCTATTTTAACGAACAACAATACTGTTTTATTTAAGTGGCAAGTAATATGGTGATAAAATGTTTACAAACAACTTTAAATCACATGATTTTTCCATGAAAATTTAATTATGGGTTCAAGTGGGCTGCAAGATAAAAAAAAAAAAAGGTTGAAAAACATTGCTATATTGTCTAAGTACATTACTAAATAATCTAAATGACAATTAAACAGAAAAATTATATTTTCAAGTTTTAATTTGAGTATAGCAAAGTTTTTTATTTTGTGCTAAATGAAATTATGAATAATTAAAATTAAAAAAAAGTATTCCAAATAGATATTTAAATAACTTCTAAATTCAGTGTAATGACAAATACAAGGATGATTAAGTTTCAATAGTACTTAAATGCTAATGTCTTGAAAATATATTGTCAGAAGCCTCCCAAAGAAGAATTAATTCATAGCAGTTGAATGTAATTATACGACATACAAGGTTTCAAATTTTTTACATATTCAACTTACCTGGATCATTCATATGTTCCATAATCCAATTAAGAGCTGCATCCATACCACTATTATCAGTTTTATATACAGCCCTTTTGCATGCATCAAGAGGAAATCCCATTTCAGATAATTGAATTATAGTATTTGGATCTAACTGAATTTCTATAAAAAGAAAAAAATATAAATTAAGTTCAAACTATTTTATAAATTAACATTTCTATTTATAATTTTAGTATATATGTAATTTTTATTTTATTCAATTGTTTCTACACTGATGATTTAAGTTTTTATTTAAAGAAATCATAAATAACAATTTACTTTAAAGTTCTTCTTCATAATTTTTATATGCAAGTAATATAATTGTAAATAAATATAACATTTCAAAATACATCAAAACAATATAACAACAGTTTTACAACTATTGAAAATGACACTAACTTTATGTTTTACTTTTGCTTGATTTTTTGTAATGGTCTAGAACAGGGGTGTCCAACCTTTTTGTTTCTCTGGGCTACATTGAAAGAAGTCATGGAGTTTTGTGCTACAAGTATATTATATATACTTGTGGCCCAATCTTTAAATATACAAGTATATTTAAGGATTAACATGTCTAGATTATAGTAATAAGTATTAAAACTTTATCATGAAAAAGGATATTTAAAAAAATTACTTCTACACACACTTTCAATTTTTAATTAGAAACAGATAAATAAATTATAAAGGAGACAAACAAAAATTTGTTTTATTTGGATCTCTAATTAATAAAAAAATGATAAAACACCATTTTAAAGTGCATTTTTATTCAACTAATATATTTATAAATAATATGTAGCCCAAAAAGTAGTCAATGTGCCAAATGATATTTTTTATGCCAAATTAAAAAAGGGTAGCCAAATTTTGCAATGCTGGAAGGAATACTAAATAAAGCTGAAGTTGTGACTCAAAGGATTATAGACCCAAATTCGGGGAAAGGATAAGAAGGACAAAAGATAAAGTGAGGAAGGTTGGAAAATTAAGGGTCAATATTTGCATAACAGAAGGTCTATTTAATCTTTCTCACTACTTTTTATCTTTTGGCCTTTCTCTCCTTTCCCCGAATTTGGGTCTATAATCCTTCAAGTCACAACTACAGCTTTATTTAGTATTTCTTCCTCATTCACACATTTCCAAATATTTGAAAATATTTCCTTTCCACTCAAAAATAAAATATGTATAAAGGTTCACGACTTTGTGAAACTTCTTTTTTGAGTTTATGCCGTTGAAATAAATAAATAATAATAACAAAAATTTGTCAGTTTTGTTTACACGTTTATTGGACCATATTGGAACTTGCCTTGCCACATGTGACCCATGAGTTGGAGATCCCTGGTCTAGAACATATAATTACAATAGAAATTTACAGAATAAATTTTGCAATAATTTTTCAGCAACCTTCCAATTTATTATGATCGCTGGATGAGTAGACTCCTAGGAGAAAGTACTAATTGAATGATCAAAAATTGTGTAAATTTCTATTGTAATTATAAAAAACTGAAACTAAGTTTCAGTGGAATTTCAAAGATTTCAAGGCTTGGATGGAATTAATATTTGATTATTACAGTTGACCCCCCTATAAAACTGTTGATTATTCCGTTTTATATGAATTCCATGTTGTACGAGTCACTTAGATTTTACAAATACGTGTGCTGGGCTGTGAACGGCTCACGTATTTGTAAAATCTAAGTGACTCGTACAACATGGAATTCATATAAAACGGAATAATCAACAGT